GGGGGGGCTAGGATGAAATTTGAAAAAAATAGGCAGGACAGGAGTTTTGAGTAAAAAAAAAGGCAGGATGAGATTATTTGCAAAAAAAAAAGCAGGATGACAATTTTTTTAAAAAAAAAATCAGGATAAACTAAAAAAAAAAGGCAGGACCGAATATAGTGAAAAATAAAAAGGCAGGACCAAATAGAGGGAAAAATAAAAAGGCAGGACAAAATTTTTCATCCTAGCCCCCCCATAAAAATCAAATGGTAGCTCCCTAAGGGCGAAAGAATAGCAAGTACGCAATTTGAAAAATGATGAAACAATAGTAATAAAAAAGGCAGATAACAATTCAAATTGTGTTATTTCAGACAGACTAGACTACATAACAGAAGTCACAAGACAACTAAATACTCAACATTACTGCCAATTAGATTTATTTAAAGGGGCATTGGTTGTCAAATTTATGTTCATCGATTTGACTCAAATTCTCATATTTGATTTATAGCATACTAAAACATATATATATCCAAATTATAAAAAGTATAAAATAAACAATTTACAAGGCATGGGCTCGATAATATGTTTCATCGTTTCCTGTGTATTTTAGTCTAGACGCCATCTAATTAATTATCCAGTTGACCTCCGAAACTGCCGACGGTCATACAAGCAATTTATAAACATAAATATAGATATAAATAGATAGCAAACTCTTGCAATAGGATTTTTCTAGGTCTGTTTAATTTTATATTATAGGTTAAAAATATAGGGACGATGGATTCATAATATTTGATGGAACATCAGATGAAATTGCAGATTCTTTTCATCTAGAAAATAATTATAACCCCTTATTGAAGTCCACCTATGAAATCTCAAACGACAAAATGTCGTTCTTAGATGTTCATGTAATAAAAGGTCAAAGATTTACAACACATGGCATTCTTGACCTTGAAATACATTTTAAAGAAACAAATTCTTATCTCTATCTGCATAGAAATAGCTGTCACTCACAGCATGTATTCCGAGGATTTATTAAAGGTGAAGCAATACGGCAAATTAGAAACACAAATGACCATAACAATTTAATAAACAATCTAACTAATTTCTAAGTGAAATTATTAGATAGGGGTTATGATAACGTCGAAATGGATGATAGTATTGCTGATGCTTTATCAATTGACCGTATTGAATTATTACAGCAAAATAAATCGAAGGAAAAAGAAAATATTCTATTAGTTTTGATAACTAAATATAACCCATATATATATATATACGTAAAACAAAGAAACAGGCATTTATTACAGTTTGACGAAGATTGTGTATAAATATTCAATGATGGACCAATAGTTGCGTATAGCAAACATAAAAGTGTTGGAGATATGCTTAGTCGATCAAAGTTGAAGACTTTAACATAAAACTGACAGTTGGACCCCTGATGATGGCAGATCTGTCATAATAACTAGACCTATTGATGAAGAATTAAAATATAATAAGCCAGAGCCTCTAATCCCAAGCTTTAACTGATGAAACACTAAAATAGTGATCAATAGTACGTGTTGGATCCTATCATGCTATTTGGGCTGCGTGGTTGTTTTATGATAACAAAACTCAATGAAAATCAACAAAGCACTTAAATAACTTTTTCTAGTAAATATTTTTTGGCAATTTTATCAAGTGAGATGTAAATATTTCTGTACTTAACTTTTAATTTTCACATTTTTTTTTCATTTTTCATTTTCAAAATTCAATATCCCTAAAAATGCACCAATATCCCATATCCCATTTATTTTTAGGACAAATATCCCATATCTCTAAAATTAAAATGGCAAATATCCCGTATCCCAATATATCCTATACAAGCCTCATTTTTGACATTTTTACCTATTATGTCTGTTTGTTTTGTTCACACATCGTTGTCAATATAATGGAATTTTATGCAACTCTCATACAAGTGAGAGGTTTAGCTAGCTATAAAACCAGGTTTAATCCACCATTTTCTACATAAAAAAATGCCTGTACCAAGTCAGGAATATGACAGTTGTTATACATTCCTAACATTTCATTTTATGTGTATGAACTTTTGATTTTGCCATTTGAACATGTTGAATACAGACTTTCCAATTTGAATTTTCCTCGGAGTTCGGTATTTTTGTTATTTTACTTTTTATTCTTTGAAAAAGCTATGGCCGTATCATGCACTCATGGCGCAGCTCTTTATTTATATTTGGGCCAAATCAACTTTAAATGTTGGCTGAATTGACTTGGACTGGAACGACTTAGGAAAGATCGACTGGGGCTGGATTTACTTTGGACCAAATCAACATTAAAGCCATCTGCACACTCTATCAATATAGATTTTTACTAATATTTGGAAAATATCAACCATTGTTCAACTTTATCATGATGATATATAACATGACAAATACAAAATATTGTAAACATGGTAAAACAATTTACTTCTGCAGAAAAGTATATTGAGTTTAGACATTACTGGCTTAGTACATATACACAATAACATGAATGAATAACTTAGTAACACAGTGATTTACTTTTGCAGTTTCTTACTTTAAACTTAATTTTCAATGTCATAAATGATCAGCTTTAAATAAATTAAAAAATGCATAATGATCCAAACACCTCTTTTAAAATTTTGTAAATTTCAATTGCTAAATTAAAATTGATTATCAAAAATTTGTTTTCAGTTTTTTGTCATTAGAAAATCTATAAAAGTATATTAAACTTACAGTTTGAAAGACTCTATTGGATGAAAAATAACGTAAATTTTTGAATGCCAATGCATTACATCTGTCACTAACCTACACTATCTCACTCGCTTTTGTCTTGCCTGCTACAAAAGTTGCAGTATGCGAGACAGGGATTACTATCTTGTGGCAGCAGTGTAAACTATTTGTATAAAGCTTTCTATTTCAGAAGGTAGAAGACCTGGATGCTTCAATCATACCTTGTATGCATATACCTTATCCTTATGTTAGGTAGTTTCTGTCATATGTCCATTGTCCTTGACCTCATTTTCATGGTTCAGTGACTGCTTGAACAAATAATACAGTCTGGCAGGTTTCATCTAACCTTGACCTCATTTTCATGGTTCATTGGTCAATGTTAAGTTTTTTTGTGTTTTGGTCTGTTTTTCAAGTACTGTAAGTAATAGGTCAACTATATGTGGTGTATAGGATGATAGTAAGATACACATGTTGGTCTAGCCAGTATCATATGACCTTGACCTAAATTTCATGGTTCATTAGTCAATGGCAAGTTATTATGTTTTGGTCTGTTTTTCAAATACTTATAGCAATAGGTCAGCTATATTTGGTGTATGGACATGATGGAATAATTGGAAGGTGTTCATGTCTGACCTTGACCTCATTATCTGTTATTTATCAAGTTTATGTGATACTTGCACATGTTCATCATACTTGTAGTAAAACTTTTATCTTTAAGACTTTCAACATAGATTCAATGGTCAGTAAAGCAGGTGAGACATTTCAGTGTGTGCACTCTTGTTTAAATAGACAATAGACAATATTTATTAGCACAAACACATTTACATAAAATGGTTATGGCATACAGTATTGAGACAATAAACTGACAATAGTTAAATTGACTATAATTATATTAGAGTGACAGTGGTATTCACAGGGGGAAAAAAAGACCATACATATGTGTGTATCGACAGTTAACACATCATTAATGTTCATGTACAAAAAACAAAAACAAAAATTAGGATACATATTAAAAGAAATATAAGTTATACAGATGTTCTCAATAAAAAATTAAAGTAGATGAAATAGTATCTTAAAATTTTGCATAAATTTATCAGATTCTTTTCAAGAAAAGTGGCTTCTTTATATATATATATATATATATATAAACATGATAAAAGTTATCTCTATCTAGAGTAAATTTAACAAAGACACACCGTTAAGTCCCCTTTATTGTATTTTAACCACATAAATTCAAATGATACAAGAAGATACCAAAAATATTTGACAGACAGCAACACCCGACTCCATGAATGCATGACAATGTTTGATAAGTGTATATTTGTAATTAAGATTTAGTTATTTTGTTCTCCTTTTAGATTTGCATTTTAGTGAATCATTGGATGTGAATATTTTATTTATTTTCAAAATGTCACTTTAATAAACCAGTTGTGAACTGTATGAGTTATGAAGATTTTATTTATTTTCAGAATGTCACTTAAACCCCGAAAATCTTCAGTCCGGACTGAATTTGTATGATCTGTTACAGCTTCAGTATGTTGTCATCTTGTGACAGATTTAATTGCCTAACAGTTCAGGTTGTGGTTTCACATCTGATAACAGTTAACTGAGAAAAGACAGTGACCTTAGTTTAAGAGAAAAGAAGTTTTATTATCAAAACACATATGATATTCACACATAATGATTTGTTTTTGTTACATTATTCCCACTGATGTCCAATGTATGGAATGTCTTTAGGATAAGGATATTTGGATCTAGCTAAATCCAAAACACATAATGGCATAATTTCCCGTCTGTGATAAACTACCCATTCCCCACCTCCTATATTTGTCTTTCTGTCCAAGTACTCCTCAGTATACCATACCTCTAAATTGTCCATTATCTTCCAAAACCTTTTATAAATTTCCTTTCTTATTCCTGAATTTTCTTATACCACAGCATTACAACCTGTCATGAATTTTGATTACAAATCAACATGATCAATTGAAATGAAGTTACATGGAAACATTAAAAATTGTAAAACACTTTATATTTTGACCTTCATTATACATTCTTTACCTAATGACATTTCAAGTATTTGTAACAAAAGTATAACAAGGCTAGGCATCTGCAAGTCATCAGCTTCTTCTTGTCAAATATATGGTCATAAATTCATAGATAAAGAGAAACCATACAGTGACTTTCTTCATCACCAAACTGATCAAAAAGCGGTGTACTTCGGGGTTTAAACCTAAAACAGCTGTGAACTCTATGAATTACGAAAATTTTATTTATTTTCAGAATGTCACTTAAACCTATATCAGTTGTGAACTCTATGAGTTATGAAGATTTCATATCTATATTTGGTAACGTGATAGAGCACTGCTCCTTGTGTGCTGCAGCAGTATGGAGAGATCGTCCATTCTCTGACGTTAACAGTCTTCACAAGTCTTTCTGTCAGTTTGCTGATCAACTTCCTATTGGGGGTATGTATTACCTGTAAAAGAGGGGCGAAAGATAACAGAGGGACATTCAAACTCATAGATCGAGAATAAAATGACAAGGCCATGGCTAAAATAGAAAAAGACAAACAGACAAATAATAGTACACAAGACACAACATAGAAAACTAAATACTTAGCAACACGAACCCCACCAAAAACTGGGGGTGATCTCAGGTGCTCCGGAAGGGTAAGCAGATCCTGCTTCACGTGGCACCCGTCGTGTTGCTCATGTTATTATGTGTGAATCTCAGGAGTCCTATTGGGGGTATGTATTTCCTGTTAATCTCACAAATAAATATATTTTGTTTATACATTTATTCACTCTCACATATTTAGTTTACAGTTGTTTGTTAGTAGATTAGGAAAATGAATATTTGCAACTGTATCTCCCTTATTTACCTGATTATCTCCCTTATTTACCTGGTTATCTCCCTCAATTACCTGATTATCTCCCTTATATACCTGGTTATCTCCCTTATATACCTGATTATCCCCCTTAGCATAATAAAGCATTAAACCTGAATGTACCCAAACCAAAGATTATTTTTGATTAAAGTGATTTTTTTCTATGTTGTGTTTTGTATACTGTTGTTTGTCTTTTGGTCTTTTTCTTTTTATTCCATGGCTTTGTCAGTTTATTTTTGACATGAGTTTGAATGTCCTTTTGGTATCTTTCGCCTCTCTTTTACACTATATTATAAAACTATAAAAGAGCATATGTGTTACATATTTGTTTTTCGTTCATTTTTTGTACATAAATTATGAAATTAGTTTTCTCCTGTTTTGTTTTTCATCCTCATTTTGGGGGCCTTTTATAGCTGACTGTGCGGTATGGGCTTTGCTCATTGTTGAAGGCCGTACGGTGACCTATAGTTGTTAATTTCTGTGTCATTTGGTCTCTTTTGGAGAGTTGTCTCATTGGCAATCATACCACATCTTCTTTTTTATATTCATCCAGTTTTGTAGAAGATAAAGACTACAGGTGACTGTGTTTCACAAAACAACAAGGAATGTTACCTAACCAAACAAGCTGCATACTTTTAATGCAAATATTTAGGCTAAATGATTCAGTATCTATACTAATAAAAAAAGCGAGTTCCAAATTTGATATCAGACATGACGTAAAAACAATGATTAAATTTTATATGTAATTATTAAATATAGAACAATGGTGTTGTTTAAAAATTACACCATTCTAAGCCCTTTTGTTTTCCACATAATTAATATTACCAATAATTAACAAGTTTCAGGTTGAATCCGATACCAATATCATACATCCCAGCAATAAGTTCCTTTCAAACTGGTTATAAGGGCTTTAATACCAATATGTTTTTCCTCTCAGAATTAAGTGACAGATATTTCATTGCTGTTTAAGATGAACAATATCATAGTTTTTAACTCTAAATATTTTTTTCAGGAAAAGAAGGCATTTTAAGACTGCATCCCGACTTGGCAGGAAGACTGGCCATGTCTGGTGGACTGACCAATGAATCCACTAAGGAACAACAAAGTGCTGGTCTAAATACACTTTCTGACCAAGAAAAACAAAACATGCATGATTTAAATCAACAATATAAACAAAAGTTTGGCTTTCCTTTTGTGATATGTGCTCGAGAGAACAAGAAGGAAGCCATTTTGACTGGGCTTGAGAGGAGATTGAATAATTCTGGAGAAACCGAGGCAGTAACAGGGGTCGAGGAAGTTAAAAAGATCTGTCGACTGAGACTGCTAGATATTGTAGACTCTTCTTCAAAGCTGTGATATATATTATGTATTGAGACAAAGATGTGTATATAAGTAGAGAGAGAGAGAAATATGTTTTTTATGCCCCATTTATGGGCATTATGTTTTCCGGTCTGTGCGTCCGTTCGTCCGTCCCTCTGTCCCGCTTCAGGTTAAAGTTTTTGGATAAAGTTTTTGGTTAAGGAAGTTTTTGATGAAGTTGGAAGTCCAATCAACTTGAAATTTAGTACACATGTTCCCTATGATATGATCTTTCTAATTTTAATGCCAAATTAAGAGTTTTTACCCCAATTTCACAGTCCACTGAACATAGAAAATGATAGTGCGAGTGGGGCATCCTTGTACTATGGACACATTCTTGTTTTTGAATGAGATAATTAATTTTAACAATCATCAATGGAAAGGGTGAGATATAAAAAGATTAAAAAATAAAATTTGATTTGTCAATATTGTGGTTTGTGACGAGTGAACCAACACCTTCTAACGGAAAAGCTGGTAGAGTAACCAAGATGGATACCGAAGTATGCTGCGGTTGTCTTAAAACCTCATGGAAATATAATATGTAGAGACAACCCCATATGCACCGCATTTTATGTACTTCAGTATTTGTTTTCTATGTTTAAATTGTCCTGAAGACGCCACCGTAAGTGGCGAAACATGTAGACTCAATAAAACTATCACCTTGCGGTAACCCAGATGTTGTTGTCTCTACATATTATAATATTGTGGTTTAATTAAAATAAAAGAATTTAGATGAAGCCCACTTCTTTTTCACACATCTTAAAATAAAATCTGTGTCTAAAATTTCAGAAAAAAATGTTTATAATCAGACTCAAATTTAAAAAGTTAAGAAAAACAAGAGGCTCCCAAGCGCCCGATTCAATCACCTGGTAAAAATATGCCATTTTGATTTTGATTTTACTTTTATTGCAATCAGTTATGTTTGCTTATTTGTAAATCTTAAGAAGTTTGATAAATTAATTGTTGGTGATTAAAGCCCATTTTCAGCAGTATTAGCTATATTGTGGAGGTCAGTTTTTATTGGTGGAGGAAGTCAGAGTGCCAGGAGAGAACCACTGAACTTTGGCAAGAAAACTGTCAATCCTAGTCAATTAAGATTGAAGTCGAGTGCACCTGCCACATACAGGTTTTGAACTCACAACCTCATTGTTGTCAGGCTAACGATACAGTAGGTGAATTACCTAAACCACTGGGTCAACGAAGTTTGAAGACTTAATGCAAATATATACAAGACAAAATACATAAATATAATTGTTAATATCTTTCAGACTAATGTCTTATAACATTTGATAGATGTTACCAAGTAGATTTAAAAAGCTTTTTGATTTTCGAAATCATAAGGCAAAAAGTGGCCTCATCATACCTTCTCTCGTACCATAATCCACAAAATAAAAAAGAGAGAAAAAAAACAAGATAGAAGAAGCTGAAATGTGCCACTGCTTCACAGATTATGATTGAATTTTATGATGCAAGTCTTTAAGATCATAAACTTAACATTATCAATGATCCATAAAAATAAGGTCAAAGCTCACTAACTAGTATTACTTAAATTATCTGTGAGTTACGGAAAACATAAAAGACTTAATGCTGACCAGTGAACCTTGAAAATTATGGGTAGGTCAGATTAACATGTACACAGTACTATCTCTATACACCAAATATAGTTAACCTATTTAATAGTTATAGACCCAATCAGAAAGATTTAACATTGACCAATTATCGATGAAAATGAGGTTAGGGTACACTTGTAAGCTGCACACTATCGGAGGGGCATGTAACCTGTTAAAACCATAGTCGGTCTATATATAATAACCCAAACTAACTGATCAATGACTTTTTATATCTGACCTAATTACCACCATGGAAACTTGTCATAAATACCAGGATTTAAATTTTGTAAGCCAAAAGTGAGTTTTGTCTACAAAAGACTCATCAGTGACGCTCAAATAAAAAAAGTTAAGAAGGCTAAAAACAGCAGGAATTGAGTTGAAGAGCATTGAGAAACCGAAATTCCCACTTAACTTTGATATTGATCACTGAACCATGAATCAAGGTCAAGTTCAGGTAATCCCTGTCTAACAGTCATGCATACCTTGCAATCTAAATACCAAATACAGTTGTTCTACTACTATAAATGAAAAAGTCAGATGATTAAGTGGTCATTGAACCATGAAAAAAGCAGAAACATCAGAAAATAAGGCACTTGTATTCTAAATATTAAATTCTCCAATTCATGAATCTATATATAACTATATACCAAGGGCTAATGCTGCCTCCAGTTTAACCTACCATTTACTTAGGAAAATGCCTATACCAAGTCAGGAATATGACAGTTGTTTTCCATTCGTTCTGTTGGTTGATATTTATAGACAAACGTTTGATTTTGTCAATTTTTATGGATTTCCTATTTTTGTTTATACTGTTACTTTCTTCACAGACTAACGCACAAAACATGAATGAAACACAAATAATTTATTATCACAGCAAACATCATTTTGATTTTTTCTTTTTTTGCCTATCAGCTTCCATCTCTGATCGTTTCTTGTCCATCTTCTTTTGTAACAATGCTTTCTGCTTAGCGTCTGGCAATTTACTTGGTACACCACTGCCCCTATATAACACCCCTTCTTTGATAATGGTAGCTCTCGCACGTGCTTTAACAGCATCACCACACCCATGAACCTCTGCCATGGAATGATTCAGACAGAATCGTCTCTGACAGAATTCACATGTATGACCCAATGTCAAGGTCTTAACCTTACATTTCGTAAAGTTACATTTACTATCGAGTTCCTTCGTTGAGGCAATGAGTGCATCAAAATCATCGGGATCAACATTTTGTAATTTAGCAATCACGTCTTTCTCAGCATTTGTTTTCATATTTTTTGTTGAGGATGGTGGCTTCTTTTGATTTTCAGGTCTATTTTTAGCACTTTCTTTTCTATTTTTAACACTACTAGCAGATTGTGCAGCCTCTTTCTGACGTCTAGCACAATGGATTTCATGAAGGCTATAATTAGCTTTGATGACATCCTTACTACAATGCTTACATATCAACTTATTATTATTAGATTCAGCAGGAGTTGTATCACTTTGTGATTTGATTTCACCAAGATGGGTTGAGGTTGGTATTTCCTCCTGATCCCCAGTTTGTTGTTTTTCATATGAATCTTTTTCCTCGATAACTTTTATGCCTGGTTTGGAAACAACAAGATGTCTCTCTTTATCAATACCCCTGCTGACATGTACAAGTCCCAATTTCTCTGACAACTAAAATAAAAAAGGAATGCTTACTTTTTACAAAATAAAATTAAAAGTTAATAAACAGGAACTGCATAATAGTGCAATAGTTTATTTTGGCATCAGGTTTTGTCTGCAGTTTTGGTCTAAGAATTGGCATTTAAATCTGTACAAGGTTAAATGGTTCCCCTTTATGGTCTTGTTTAAAGCCTTTATTGGGTTTTATGACCGTGTGCAATGCATTTAATATATGGTTATAAGGAATTGTGCAATACCTACAGTGAGCTATAGTTTCTAACTTCTATGTAATTTGGTCTCTGCTGGAATATTGTCTCTTTGGCCATCACATCAAATCTTCTTAATTATATAAGGAAATTGTAAAGTTTGTGTAGGGAAAGTTTCCCAGTTAAATGCCTAGCACAAATATAGCTAAAAAATATACACACAAAAAAATAAAATGATTTGGGAATAAACTTATATATTGTACTTATGTCACTTTTATTTTCCAATAACTCCCTCAGACAAGACAAAAGTCTCCCTAGACATTTTTGGCTATATTATCCAGTCTATTTTGGCTTTTTAATCTTTTAGTGACAAGCATACATGATGAATATAAAAATAAGATATGTGGTATCATTGTCACATTCTGTATGTCCAAAGTCAGGAGCCTGTAATTCAGTGGTTGTTTTTCTTTACTCACAAATCAGGTTGTTGGATTTCTCATTTGCATTGTTTCACATGTTTTCATGTCAGAGCAGTTTTTAGATAGCTCACTTTAATAGGTTTTGCTCATTGTTAAAGGTAATGTATTGACCTATAGCTGCTTACATCCACTTCCTTTGGTCTTAGCTCAGTGTTCTCCCCAGGCCATTAAAGGACCGCGGGCCAGGGATGTATAATTTTTTACCGTGGTGGTATCGGTCTTACTGCGATGTATAATTTTTGTCTGTGGTGCTAAAATTTTCAGTAAAGAAATCGTAAATCGGTAAAGTTTTAAACGATTTGTTAAATCTTTTCTGTGCGGTATAAAATTCCAGGTGAAATTTGACCAGTTCAAACCAGTTGAACCCAGATTGTTGACACCAGGTTATCGATTTACCTTATGAGGTTAATCTTGTTGATTGGATTAAATCGATGTAATTAACACTTGTTACATTATTCTTTTGTGTTTTAATTAGGAGTTTATAACTTTATAATCACTGATAATTATTTTATGGCTTCACTCACAACCCAAGCGCTGTGACAAGTCTGCAAATACTTTGTACACAAACAGTGTGGACCCGATAGTTGTACACACGTCTGTACTTTTTTGTACATAATAAAGTTGGATCATTAGAATAGTATAATATGTCTGATTAAACCATGGCCAAAATTTTCTTTAATTATGACATAGTTAGTGCATGATATCTGGTTTCAAACTATAGTATCTGTGAACATGTAATTCAAAGGGGACGGACATCTATACATATCACATGACCCAGTTACTTCACGTAGAATATTAAAGTTTATTTGCAATTAATTGCAATCTATTCTATTTAATAAATAAAATGCATGACTGTACCTTCAAACTGGATATCTATATCCACAATTAATGAATAACAGAAGTAATCTTGCAAATTTTATCCATAAGCACATGTTAAATCTATTTATATCTACTTCCTGTCATTTACTGATGATTTAGGCAGGAAAATAGGGAGACTTTGTTGTTGACATTGAATATGGTTACTTCCTAAGATAAATTTATAGATTTAGGAATTCTTTTTGAATGGATCATGAAAAATAAAGATTTAGATTTCAGTGCAGTATTAAGTCTGTATCAATGTTCGATTATCACCAAAGACAAGAAAGGTTAATATTTACATGAAATCTATGGCAAAAAGTTTTTAAATTTCTGAATTTTTTTTTTTTTTTTTAAATTTAAGATAGAAACTGGTTCAAATAATAAAACAATATTTGTTCTTGTTAATTTTATATCTCCTTATGACAAGAATCCTTTCACATTTTTAAATTGAACATTTTTGGTCTCCTTTGAATGATATTTTATTTTTATTGATCATGGATTCTATAAAAGATTTGATTACTTTAAATTTAGATGAATATTTTGTAAAGAATCATGTTTTATTTATTTAAAAAAAAATATTATTAAAGTATAGAAATAGTTTATTGACTTTACTTCTTTTTTACCAATAATTTTCTGACTCAATGTCTACATAACACAGTACCACAGTACTAAAACAAAACAAGAGAACTGCAGTAACTAGAAATATAGCTAAGCGAGGCGATGCGACACAACTGATTGTACGAATCATGTCACCAAGCTGTCCACACGCATTACCCTGGTGCTATCCAAAAATCCTGGTGAGAACACTGCTTAGCTGGATATTTGTCACATTAGCAATCATATCACATCTTCTTATATTATGAGACATCTATCCGGCATGTATCCACTATTATATACCATACCTCATGTATTATAAGTCGATCATACGAGTTTAATGAGACAGGGAACTCCATTATTTCTTGACATGGATCTGTCACAAACTTGTCTAAATGTTCCTGATATTCCTGTGTCTTCTTCATTAAAATGGCCTCATCCCTGTAAAAATCAAATCCTTGTTATTTTTTGAAAGAAAAAAGGTGCCAATGTTAAATGTATGAAAAATCTAGAGAGAATCACTTCCCGCCAAATTTTCAATGGCTTATATCTTGAAAACAAGCTGACGAACCTTTACCTTTTTTCTACTTTTTTTAGTTGCTTAATTCATGTACACTCAATTTATAGCAGTCTTTTAAAAAGCTTGTTAATTTGCAACAGAGTAGCAAACATCCTTAAATAAGATCAAACTTACAAAATTTTTATGATCTCATTTGCATAACGAAATTAGGGAAAATTCATCCTTAGAAAAAATTTCACTCACAGCGTTATGCTCTAATATTTTTAAATTGATTATAATTAGTGTTTGCTTTACTAATCAATTTAAAAATATAAGAGCATAATGCTATGAGTGAAATAAAAAAGGCTATATCACAGCTATTCTTTAGATTACATATGTTCTACACTTCTCTTACTAATTTTGAATATTGTCTTTATCCATACTAATCTTGAAGACATACTTAAAAATATTAAACTACATGTACACTTATGGTCCTACATCCTGTTGATACTTATATTTTGGCTTTGCACAAGGTATTGCTCTGCTGTTTTTGATAGTTGTCTCCTTGGCAATCATACCACATCTCCTGATTTTATTTATATTTTGAATCAGCTTTCATTTACTGCAATCACTATGAGATCAGTTTTTTATTTTTGCTAAGTGTTTTTTTCTGCTTCCTGACAATCTGATGAGTCAAGCTCTTTCCAACTGATTTTTACAGCTTGTTCTTATTTTGTGCTGTTACACTACATGTTTAACCCTGCCACACTTTATGACTTTGTGTCTGTCCCTAGTAAGGAGCCTGTACTTCAGAAGTTATTTTGGTTCATGTCTGTCAGATTTGTTTTTAGTAAATTGTTTTGTTATAAATTAGGCTTTCAGTTTTTCTTGTTTGAATTCTTTCACATTTTTCATGTCTGGGCCTTTTAGAGCAGACTTTACAGTATGGGTTTTTCTCATTGTTGAAGGCTTACAGCCTTACAGTGGCCTATAATTGATGACATCCACTTCATGAACTCTGGTGGATAGTTGTCTCATTGGTAATCATACTACATCCTCTCATTTTTATATTCAATTGAAAAGGAAAAATCTGTAAAAACCTCTCAACAGTTCTTTTTGACACTTCATTATCTCCATGACCTTTGAGTTGATCTCTAGGTTCTGGTCTCTCATTCTGTTTTGGTTTCTGTTTCTGTTTTGGTTTTGCCCCTTGGCCTTTCTGACCTTTCTGACTGGTTACTTTCACAGACAGAAGGTCACTCAAATGATCAGGTCTTAAAAGTTTGGCATTAACTACTCCGTCTGAAATGATATTTAAATGTGATTCGAACTTGAATTAAGCACTGTAAGTTTAAGCTTTTATAATTTTAGATAAAATATGGATTTGGATTGGTTTCTATTTATATAATTATGTCATAAGCAAATACCATGAAAAACAATGAGGGTCTGGATGGGGGCTTTTCATTTCTGTATTCTTTTTTTTTAGGTAATTTTTCTCTATTCTTTATATTTTTTGCCCTTTTTTCTCTGTTCTTTATTTTTTGTCTATTTTTACATATGGAAGTTTTTAACGACATTGACTGGCTATACAGCCCTTGCACGGTCTATTTTTGTCTATTCTTTATATTTTTTGCCCTTTTTTCTCTATTCTTTATTTTTTGTCTATTCTTAATATTTTTTTGTCTATTTTTGTCTATTCTTTATTTTTTTGTCTATTTTTGTCTATTCTTTATTTTTTTGTCTATTTTTGTCTATTCTTTATATTTTGGCCCATTTTTCTGTAGATTTGATCCATTATTCTCTATTCTATAAACCCCATCCAGACCCTCACTAATGATACACCACTAAAAGAATTGGGTTAACAGGAAGTGGATGAGGCATTGATGTGAAAACTACATCACACGGTAAAGCATACTTACTTGGATGGAGAGTTGTCTCATTGCCACTCGTACCACATCTTCTTATTTATATTTACTTCACAGTATGGCCGAATAATAATTTCAACACAGAGATCTATTTTTATATATGTGATTATAGCAAGTGCACCAAAGATACCAAAACATTGTATTTACATTCTATATTTTTATATTATGTGATTATAGAAAGTCAACCAAAGATTAACTCATTGTATTTACCTTCTATATACTGATGTGCAGTCTGAACCTCTCCATTACATGTCATATACTCCATTAACTCATTGTACTTACCTTCTATATACTGATGTGCAGTCTGAACCTCTCCATTACATGTCATATACTCCATTAACTCATTGTACTTACCTTCTATATACTGATGTGCAGTCTGAACCTCTCCATTACATGTCATATACTCCATTAACTCATTGTACTTACCTTCTATATACTGATGTGCAGTCTGAACCTCTCCATTACATGTCATATACTCCATTAACTCATTGTACTTACCTTCTATATACTGATGTGCAGTCTGAACCTCTCCATTACATGTCATATACTCCACTAACGCATTGTATTTACCTTCTATATACTGATGTGCAGTCTGAACCTCTCCATTACATGTCATATACTCCACTAACGCATTGTACTTACCTTAAGCTTCTATACACTGATGTGCAGTCTGAACTTCTCCATTACATGTCATATACTGATGTGCAGTCTGAACCTCTCCATTACGTGTCATATACTCCATTAACTCATTGTACTTACCTTCTATATACTGATGTGCAGTCTGAACCTCTCCATTACATGTCATATACTCCACTAACTCATTGTACTTACCTTCTATATACTGATGTGCAGTCTGAACTTCTCCATTACATGTCATATACTGATGTGCAGTCTGAACCTCTCCATTACATGTCATATACTCCATTAACTCATTGTACTTACCTTCTATATACTGATGTGCAGTCTGAACCTCTCCATTACATGTCATATACTCCATTAACTCATTGTACTTACCTTCTATATACTGATGTGCTGTCTGAACTTCTCCATTACATGTCATATACTCCACTAAAGACTTGAGGAACTTGTCGTGTCCAACTGTCTCACTATCACATATTACCATCAGATGTCTCCTGGCTCGTGTAATGGCTACATTAATTCTTCTCTTCTCTGCAAGGAATCCCACTTCACCTGTAGAGACAAACACTATTTATGTAAACTGTTCATGTAAATATTCATGTAAAATAAGTATCCATTTTAAATGTTCAGTAAAATAAGTATTCATGTAAAATATTCAGTTAAAGTATTCACGTTAAATATTCATGTAAAAGTATTCACGTTAAATATTCATGTAAAAGTATTCATGTAAAATATTCAAGTATAATATTTATGTAAAACAAGTATATGTATATCTTAAAATGATCAATCAAATTTCTTGACTGGGATGCACAATACATTTCCCTAAATGTGGAGCCTGAAATTATTGGGTATTACAAGAGACAATTTAACTGTCTTTTCATTTAATTTTTTTTACCACCTTTTTGAGTATTGGATAAGAAGAATTAACAGATGGGAAAAATTCATGGTTAAATCTGTTTAAATTGCTATATCAACAATTGACCCATAACAGCTCAGAGCTTAGATATTAGTTCCTCAAGTTGATTCATGTAACATAAGTTTTAATATGAACTGTATACCAAAGTATTCACTTAAAAATTTAAAACCTATAAAGTTATAAACCCCATCTGATGTTAAATTGTATCTCCCAGAGGTTTAAAATTGATTTCAGAGGAAAAACGTCCAAGATTGCTTTGCATTAACAAATCAGTTAAAGGCCAGGTGTTCAAAATAACACTTAGGACTGAAAGGTCAAGGACTTTTTTTTATTTCAAAACTTACTATTCTGTGCTTGTCATTCAACATTAAAGACCATGTGGTGACCTTTCTAGGACTATTTCATGTTGACCTTTTAATGACTTTTTTGAATAACTTGTTTGACTGCTATATAACTGTAATTTATCACACACCTACTTTATTGATTGATTGAGTGATTGATTGATTGGTGTTTAACACCACTTTCAACACTATTGGCTCTATCTTGGTGGTCAGTTTTTATTAGAGGAGTAAGTCGGAGTACCTGGAGAAAACCACTGACCTTTGGCAGGATAACTGGCAATCCTACTCAATTAAAATTGGAGTCAAATGCACAACCTAATTGTTGACAGGCTAGTGATACAGTTGATGAACTACTTAGACCACTGGGCCATCGAGGTCCATACTTTTATAGATAATAAATAAAGACACTCAATACTGTAATAAAGTGGTTTATTTTCAGTGATTAAATCACAATATTTCTAATGCTAAACCTGCTTGCCATCTTTTTTTCCATTTTTCAAATTACTTCTAAAAAGTGATGTCTTAATCTTAGGATTATTTCTCACAAGTGATATTTTAGCCTTAGGATTACTTCTCACTAGTGATTTCTAACCTTTAGGATTACTTCTCACAAGTGATTTCTTAACTTTAGGATTACTTCTCACAAGTGATTTCTTACCCTTAGGATTACTTCTAACAAGTGATATCTTACCTTTAAAATTACTTCTCACAAGTGATTTCTTACCTTTAGGATTACTTCTCACGAGTGATATCTTACCCTTAGGATTACTTCTCACTAGTGATTTCTAACCTTTAGGATTACTTCTCACAAGTGATTTCTTAACTTTAGGATTACTTCTCACAAGTGATTTCTTACCCTTAGGATTACTTCTAACAAGTGATATCTTACCTTTAAGATAACTTCTCACAAATGATTTCTTACATTTAGGATTACTTCTCACAAGTGATATCTTACCCTTAGGATTACTTCTCACAAGTGATTTCTTACCTTTAAGATTACTTCTCACAAGTGATATCTTACCTTTAAGATTACTTCTCACATGTGATTTCTTACCTTTAGGATTACTTCTCACAAGTGATTTCTCACCCTTAGGATGACTTCTCACAAGTGATTTCTTACCCTTAGGATTACTTCTCACAAGTGATATCTTACCCTTAGGATTACTTCTCACAAGTGTTATCTTACCTTTTTGATTACTTCTCACAAGTGATTTCTTACCTTTAGGATTACTTCTCACAAGTGATATCTTACCTTTAGGATTACTTTTTTCATGTGATTTCTTACCTTTAGGATTACTTCTCACAAGTGATATCTTACCTTTAAGATTATTTCTCACAAGTGATTTCTTACCTTTAGGATTACTTCTCACAAGTGATTTCTCACCTTTAGGATTACTTCTCACAAGTGATTTCTTACCCTTAGGATTACTTCTCACAAGTGATATCTTACCTTTATGATTACTTCTCACAAGTGATATCTTACCCTTAGGATTACTTCTCACAAGTGATATCTTACCTTTATGATTACTTCTCACAAGCGATTTCTTACCCTTAGGATTATTTCTCACAAGTGATATCTTACCTTTATGATAACCTCTCACAAGTGATATCTTACCCTTAGGATTACTTCTAACAATTGATAAATTACCTTTAGGATTACTTTTCACAAGTGATAACTTACCCTTAGGATTACTTCTAACAATTGATAAATTACCTTTAGGATTACTTCTAACAAGCGATATTACTACTGCTTCCTTCTCTCTGCCTTGGAATCCATCAACTGATTTAACCTCAACTTTAGGGTAATTGGAAGACAATCGAAGTCTTAAAAGCTCAACCTGGAAAATATGTTATTATTGTTAAACAATTGTCTGCATCATTCAGAAGCTCACCCTTAAGCAGAACAAATGAAGTCTTACAAAAGGTAATGCCTCTGATTAGAGTTTGCATTACAAAGCTAATATTGTTCTATGTACCTAATAAATTGGAAGCCCTCAGTTGAGAGTGAAAGGTCTACAGTAACCATTCTACAAGGTCCTTACTGCAGTATTTAATAACAAAATGAATGAACTTGGCTTTAAAGTAGAATTTAATATGAATTATTCCCCTTGCTGCTAAAATGACAATTTAAGGGGCAATAACTGCTATATCTTTCTGAACGTGTCTATACAAAGATCTTACCTTTAGATTGTAAGGGGCAATAACTGTGATATCTTTCTGAAGGTGTCTATATAAAGATCTTACCTGTAGATTGTAAAGGGCAATAACTGCTATATCTTTCTGAATGTGTCTATATAAAGATCTTACCTGTAGATTGTAAGGGGCAATAACTGCTATATCTTTCTGAATGTGTCTATATAAAGATCTTACCTGTAGATTGTAAGGGGCAGTAACTGCTATATCTTTCTGAAGGTGTCTATATAAAGATCTTACCTGTAGATTTTAAGGGGCAATAACTGCTATATCTTTCTGAAGGTGTCTATATAAAGATCTTACCTGTAGATTTTAAGGGGCAATAACTGCTATATCTTTCTGAAGGTGTCTATATAAAGATCTACCTGTAGATGTAAGGGGGAATAACTGCTATATCTTTCTGAAGGTGTCTGTATAAAGATCTTACCTGAAGATGCAAGGGGCAATAACAGCTATGTCTTTCTGAAGGTGTCTATATAAAGATCTTACCTGTAGATTGTAAGGGGCAATAACTGCTATATCTTTCTGAAGGTGTCCATATAAAGATCTTACCTGTAGATTGTAAGGGGCAATAACTGCTATATCTTTCTGAAGGTGTCTATAAAAAGATCTTACCTGAAGATGCAAGGGGCAATAACAGCTATGTCTTTCTGAAGGTGTCTATATAAAGATCTTACCTGTAGATTGTAAGGGGCAATAACTGCTATATCTTTCTGAAGGTGTCTATATAAAGATCTTACCTGTAGATTGTAAGGGGCAATAACTGCTATATCTTTCTGAAGGTGTCTATATAAAGATCTTACCTGTAGATTGTAAGGGGCAATAACTACTATGTCTTTCTGAATGTGTCTATATAAAGATCTTACCTGTAGATGCAAGGGGCAATAACTGCTATATCTTTCTGAAGGTGTCTATATAAAGATCTTACCTGTAGATTGTAAGGGGCAATAACTGCTATATCTTTCTGAAGGTGTCCATATAAAGATCTTACCTGTAGATTGTAAGGGGCAATAACTGCTATGTCTTTCTGAAGGTGTCTATATAAAGATCTTACCTGTAGATTGTAAGGGGCAATAAATGCTATATCTTTCTGAAGGTGTCCATATAAAGATCTTACCTGTAGATTGTAAGGGGCAATAACAGCTATATCTTTCTGAAGGTGTCCATATAAAGATTTTACCTGTAGATTGTAAGGGGCAATAACTGCTATATCTTTCTGAAGGTGTCTATATAAAAGATCTTACCTGTAGATTGTAAGGGGCAATAACTGCTATGTCATCCTGCTTCAGTCCATAGGATATTAGTTTTTCAACATGAGTAGCCACAATATCAGCCTCACCTGTTAAATATTAAATTAATACTGCAGCTAAAACATTTCCTATGCCAATTTTAGAAAAAGGTAGGCGAAAGTGTTTTTTTTACACCAGGAATCAATAAAAACAATCTTATGCCAATATATCAATTTACCTAACACAAAAAAAGAGGTCTCTGAAAACTTGTGATTTTTTAACAGGAATTAAGTTATTAAAAAAATTGTTTGCCAAACTTGACACAAAAAAAATGAAAATCACCAAACAAGGGATTCCGAACTTGATCCATCATCCTTATGCTAAAAAAATATGGGAATCAGTCAAAATACTTTTTAACTTTCTTTTTTTCTTAACCATGGAAAATGTTGAGCTGGAACCCTTTTCAAAGAGGAACCCAAAGATACTGTCTAAAAATTTCTTGATCAATGCTTTATAATGAGTACTTTGTATAAGCCAAACCTTCATTTCCCTTGGATATTTCTTCTGGCAGATCTAATTCATACATTTCACAACCAGCTGTATCAATCAGTAACAGAGGCTCAGATGTTTCCTCATTATCTGTAATACCTGGGATGTCTCTAGAATATAAATGTTATATTGATATGACAGTATAATATTTTAATTTATTATACTTCACGTTAAAATGCCAGATTGTGATTGGCTAATACAAGGGAGATAATTAACTCTATCCCATGGCTAAGCAGGAGACAATTTTTTGAATGTCATCCTGTCGTGCAGACCAATCAAAAATCGAAAATTAAAAGGACAATGAATTGAGTTTACATCAAATAATTAAAGACAATACTCAATTTCTACATTTTGGCTCAGAACTTTTTCACAGACTTTCAAAATAAAAAATTTAAAAATCTTGCTTCACTTCTGTTGATTTTTCTAATACTGGTAACATTGTTATGTACGTGACATCATAGTAAAATACTTTAAATTTCATATTCCACAAATAAGAAATAATCCCATTTTTGTCAATTGTTAACAATGGCAATTATAATTGCACATAAACATTTCTGCATTCACAGTATTAGAATAGTTTGTGTCTGGTTGTGTTCACTGTTTGGGCCTTAGAAAGGCAATTAAATCTTTGCTGTATTCATAGTTGGTGCTTCACGGCCTAGTGCAATGCATTTAAATTGACCCTGAAATGGTCGTATATGGTACATTTCCTGGGAAATATGGAAATACGGAGATACTTTTCTGTCAAACAAAAAAAGTAATCAACTATAAGTAGCTTAGGATGCCTGCAGGATGATAACATAGGAATGCTACTTCACATTTTAGGGAAAGCAGTGGGGAGGATTGTTTCCATGAGGATTAACATGATACCTTAGCAAATGATCCGAGACTGAAGGGTGTGCCACCAGTTTACCATCATATAACTGATCAGATGACCACTGCATGATGACCTGATTCATTCTGTATTGTGTTGTCAACATCCTCATTATCTGGTTGTCATAGAGACCAAGGACACGTTCCATCAAGGTCGTCTCCAATCCAGTCTTAGCAGCCCTGTGGAAAGGTAAGTTGAATAATGAAGCATGAGATAACCAGAAAGCTTGAAATAAAAAGGAACAAATCATAAGACAATGATATAAAGAGTTTTAAGTTATTGGGGTAATTTAAATGTATGGAATATCTTTGCACAGAGTGCAGTACCCTTTGGATATAAATATAGCTGATGAGCTTGCTCTGAAGCAATAGCAATTAATACTTAAATGAAGACAAATACAGTAAATTAATTAAAATTTATGGGGTACCTGTAGTAATTTTCATGGATTTCATGGGTTAAGGTGAGCCAATATTTTCAAAATTCAACAAAATATAGATTTTCTATAGACTTTTCACATAGATTGACAATCAAATTAAGAATTTCATTCATTTTTAAAGGTCTATTTTTAGAACCTTATGGATCTTCGTTTTATTTTGTTAAAGAAGCAATTTAATTTTTGATTCATCAAAGGGAGATAATTTAAACAACAATATTTGTCAAATTCTGGAGGAAATATTTCACTTAATATCATTGTAAATGTAAAGAACTTAATCATTACACAGTATAGTAGTGGGTAACTGTAAATGTAGAGAACTTACTCATTACTCAGTAAAGTAGTGAGGGGCCTGATGGGGGGGTCTCATCACGATTCACGAGTTGATTTTTTTGTCAATCACGATTCACAGAAAATAAATTTCCATGATCACGGATCACAAAAATATAAAAAAAAAAAAAACCTGGTGAAAAACGGATCACGATAGCGAAAATGCACCGATCACGAAGAACGAAAATAACCCATCAGGCCCCTCAGTAGTGGGTAACTGTAAATGTAAAGAACTTAATCATTACACAGTATAGTAGTGGTTAACTGTAAATGTAGAGAACTTACTCATTACACAGTATAGTAGTGGGTAACTGTAAATGTAGAGAACGTAATTATTACACAGTATAGTAGTGGGTAACTGTAATTGTAGAGAACTTACTCATTACACAGTATAGAAGTGGGTAACTGTAAATGTAGAGAACTTACTCATTACTCAGTAAAGTAGTGGGTAACTGTAAATGTAGAGAACTTACTCATTACTCGGTATAGTAGTGGGTAACTGTAAAAGTAGAGAACTTACTCATTACTCGGTATAGTAGTGAGGAACTGTACATGTAGAGAACTTACTCATTACTCAGTAAAGTAGTGGGTAACTGTAAATGTAGAGAACTTAATCATTACTCAGTATAGTAGTGGGTAACTGTAAATGTAGAGAACTTACTCATTACTCAGTAAAGTAGTGCGTTACTGTAAATGTAGAGAACTTACTCATTACTCAGTAAAGTAGTGGGTAACTGTTAATGTAGAGAACTTACTCATTACTCAGTAAAGTAGTGGGTAACTGTAAATGTAGAGAACTGAATCATTACACAGTATAGTAGTGGGTAACTGTAAATGTAGAGAACTTACTCATTACTCACTTAAGTAGTGGGTAACTGTAAATGTAGAGAACTTACTCATTACTCAGTATAGTAGTGAGTAACTGTAAATGTAGAGAACTTACTCATTACTCAGTATAGTAGTGGGTAACTGTAAATGTAGAGGACTTCCTCATTACTCAGTATAGTAGTGGGTAACTGTAGATATATAGAGGAATTACTTGTTACTCAGTATAGTAGGGAGTAACTGTACATGTAGAGGGCTTACTTGTTACTCTGTATAGTAGGTGGTAACTGTAGATGTAAATGACTTACTCATTACTCAGTATGGTAGGGGTAACTGTAGATATAGAGAACTTACTCGTTACTCAGTATAGTAGTGGGTACCTGTAGATGTAAATGACTTACTCATTACTCAGTATGGTAGGGGGTAACTGTAGATATAGAGAACTTACTCATTACTCAGTATGGTAGGGGGTAACTGTAGATATAGAGAACTTACTCGTGACTCAGTATAGTAGGGGGTAATTGAAGATGGTCACCAGCCAGTATACATCTAGGTACTTTCAACAATGGAATCCAACATGCTGCTTCTATTGCCTGGTGAATATAAGAAAATTACTAAAGAACCATTAGTGCATAAGCCAAGCTGTTTATCGATTTGTAGAAGAAAGAGATTTTGTGTCAGGTACTGGTCTTTGTGTTAGGTACCGGTTTTTGTGTCAGGTACTGGTCTTTGTGTTAGGTACTGGTTTTTGTGTCAGGTACTGGTCTTTGTGTTAGGTACTGGTTTTTGTGTCAGGTACTGGTTTTTGTGTTAGGTACTGGTTTTTGTGTCAGGTACTGGTCTTTGTTTCAGGTACTGGTTTTTGTGTCAGGTACTGGTCTTTGTGTTAGGTACTGGTTTTTGTGTCAGGTACTGGTTTTTGTGTCAGGTTCTGGTTTTGATCTCAGGTTCTGGTTTTTAGTGATGTTAAAGTGATGTTAAATGAAAATAACTGCTGACATTGGGATTAAAGACATACAACTTTTAATAATAATTTTGCTAGAAAAAAGAATCCATAATTTGTATGTATAATGCAATGTGATTAATTAGGTTGCATATGCAGAAAAAGTTCCCTCACTTTCCTTAAAACCCAAATTTTAGTCAAATGTCAGTGTATTTAAAAAGCTGTGACCTAGATCTTCTACTTATTGACATCAAATTCGATTGTGGTCTTTTTCTCCTAAAGAAGCATTGTCCCTGCAAATTTGGTAAAGATCTGTTGTTGTTTTTTACATCAAAATCAATAGGGGTCTTTATTACCCCAATGCATATTATCCACCAAAGATTAGTAAAGATCTAAATCATGGCTAAACAAATATTGTCCAGAAATGAAACGCTCACAAACGTTCGTATATTTATAGGTATGGTAACCTTGACTTTCGACCTGCTGAGCAATAGCAGTTTTGCTATATTCCACCGAGCATTTTCAAACAAAGTTTGGTAAAGTTTGGGCATATGGTTCCAAAGATATCACTCAGAAACCAAAATTTTACCTAATTTCAGTCTCTTAATATGGGTACAGATTTTAATGATACAAAACCTACATCAAGTATACACAGGACAAAAAGAATGAAATGCCAATAATAAAGCACATGTTTATATGTTCCTTTTGGGTGGTATATGGATCTATTTTGGTCGTACGACTTATGTGCTGAAAGACCTTCAATAACATGGGGGCGAAAAAACATGGTTGGAGATAAATATAAAGGTTTTTAAGGAGCATACAATACCCACATATCTGTATCTGAGGAGCATATGATTTCCCAGGAATTTATATATCTAATCTAAAAGTATGATGATAAATAAAACAAATATGCACCAATAGCCTTCCAGAACTCATCAGGTAGCACCTGTTTCATAAAAAAGGGGCATTCTGTATAAGAATAATTTTTTGTAGATAGATTCAGTCAACCAAATGGTTTACCCTTGTTTCACTTTCAATGTTGACTTTCTTTTCCTTTTAATATCTGAACACACCTAGAACATGTGTAACCCATATCTAGCTAAGGGGTTAAATTGAAGGTCACATGAATGAGATTCAATGAGGTCAAATTATTGACTTGCAAGTCAATAATACATCAGCAACCTTTTTGAGCATCTTTTGACAAATTTGGGTCAAACTGACTGCTTATAATGAAATAGTATTACAAAATTCCGCTTTTATCAATACTTGAAACAAAAAGAATGGTATTTCAGATGTTTGTCTAAATCGTAGCTAATGCACTTTTTAAAGGGAGATATTATTTTCAATATACCTAATCATAGATTTTATTAGACAGAAAGCAATTTCCTGACATTTCAGTACATTTCACAACTAACCTGTGAACATTCATCAATGACACCAAGGTCAAAGTGTTTATCATCTAACAGCTTCAGTGGACCATCAGCAGATGCACCAGTCATGGTTGCTAAGACAACATCAGCTTTCTTCAGGATTTGTTTGATGGCTGTCTGCTCTCTCTGGACTAATTCTTTTCTCAGAGATTTCATATCTTGTCTTAACCTCTGTCTCTCCCCTTTGTCTCTTGTTTTCTTCAGTTTTGACTAATATAATATAAATTATACATCACATGAACTTAAATCAAGTTGTTTAAATATAACTTATAACTTCATTTATTTTGGGTGTTGCGTTTTCAGTTCGGTCCATTGAGTCTATGATGGATTTTAGTTGTCTATGTTTTGTTTACTAGAGTAATTTGGTTTGCTGCATCACTGAAGGGGGGTCTTCCTATATACAGGTAAACACAGATGTGCCGCTGGAATGGGTCACATTTTCAGAATGTTAAATATATCAATGGGGTGCAACTTCATGGGCTTACATAACAATGGGTAGAAATTTGTATGTCTATGGGTAATATACCCAGTAGCTCCTTTGAATAAAAACTTTCAAGCATGGAATATTAAATACATTAATTGTCATGGAAAGATCTTATTTATGAAAATTAAACTGTCACAAGGTTAAGATAAACATAAATAAATTGTTGACAAATGAACATGTCTCACCTGTAAGTTATTTTGATAGTAGTATAATGCAAATGTTGAAATTAAGATTGAAACACTTTAACATGTCAACTATGAAAATCTTTTAAAAGTCAATACACCATGACTGAGGGTGCAGGGCCAAATTATCTCTGTTAAAATGAGATAGTATCACAAAAGATTAGTAAGGAATCTTGTTTTCAGGTACATGAGGTATGCTAAAGACAATCAAAATAAGTGCTCTCTGAAAAGTTGATACTTTCTAAATCAGGTAATCAAATGTTTGCCCCTTACCATAGCTTTATCCATATCACTTCTAACATCCTCCACCAGCCTTGTATCATCACTGGTAGATAATATGGCATCTAGTGAATACTTACCATAGCTTTATCCATATCACTTCTGACATCCTCCACCAGCCTTGTATCATCACTGGTAGATAATATGGCATCTAGTGAATACTTACCATAGCTTTATCCATATCACTTCTGACGTCCTCCACCAGCCTTGTATCATCACTGGTAGATAATATGACATTCAGTGAATACTTACCATAGCTTTATCCATATCACTTCTGACGTCCTCCACCAGCCTTGTATCATCACTGGTAGATAATATGGCATCAAGTGAATACTTACCATAGCTTTATCCATATCACTTCTGACATCCTCCACCAGCCTTGTATCATCACTGGTAGATAATATGGCATCCAGTGAATACTTCTGAATATGTTTTAATACTCTGGCAGGGTGACCAAGTCTTACAATCTTCTGTTTATTAGATGCTAATCTTTCTACCAAGTTATCTACCGCTATGTTGGAAGGAGCGCAAGCTAAAATCTGTAAAAATGAAATCACCAAGACATGATCAATGGAAGCCATGTTTTATTTGCATCTTCCTACTAAAGCTAAAATGTATCATGACTGGCATTGAAAATTAGATACAATTCTTTTGTTATAGAATTACCTTTACAATATGTAAACATTTGATACTGTATTGTGGGAAATTTTCATAATGGATTTATTTTTGCTAATTTCGCACTTAACAAAAAAATGTAAATATTTCCCCCCACAAATTTTTGTTCTTCATGTATAGTTATAATCAATGACAAGAATAAAATGTTGACACAGAGATATGTCTCGCCTTTATGTAAATTTGATAGTATAATGCAAATGTTGAAGTTGTAATGGCAATATTTTAACATGTAATCTATGCAAAACATCCAAAGTCAATGAACCATGACTGAAGGTGCAGGGCCAAAATAACCTCCAAGGAAATGAGAAATGCCAATGCTAATAAAACTGCATACCAAATACCATTGACTTATCAATAATATCAGTGGTTTCCATTTAACTGACCTAAATACAAACTTGACCTTGTAAACTATGCAAATGTTTCAAATTCAATGAACAATGATAAGGGGGTGGGACCATATAATCTTTATATAAGACATACAAATGCTTATACAACTGCATACCAAATATCATTGACTCACCATTAGTGGTTCATCTTATACTCCAAATTGGAAAATAAAATATGTTTAATGTTAAATGTTTATACTGACCTAATCACAAACTAATACCTGTTAAGTAAGCAAAAGCTTCAAAGTCAATAGACCCTTTCTTGAGGGGGAGGGGCCGAATAATCTCCTTGGAAATGAGATGCCAAATGCTAATTTAGATGCTGATCCACTTTTAGCATAAGCACCACTGCTTAAACAGCTTGAGTGGATGACAATAGAGAACAGAATCTCATACCATAAATCTGTTTTGATGTACAAATACTTAAAGTACATGTATGAAGCCCCTGTATGTTTAACCTAAAAATTTAAAGAAATGCCAGAAAATAACCAATATTGTTTAAGGAATATGTCTTAAAAAAGTTCCAAAAGCCAAAACAGAGTTGTATAAGTAATCTTTTATATATTTAGAATCTTTTTTATGGAATAACTTGCCAGTATCCCTGAAAAAATCAATCTCAAGTACAAGTTCATCTATTTACATGTTAAAAAAAAATATAGCAACAAGAATGTGTCCATAGTACACGGATGCCCCACTCGCACTATCATTTTTCTATGTTCAGTGGACTGTGAAATTGGGGTCAAAACTCTAATTTGGCATTAAAATTAGAAAGATCATATCATAGGGTACTAAGTTTCAAGTTGATTGGACTTCAACTTCATCAAAACTACCTTGACCAAAAACTTTAACCTGAAGCGACCAAAAACTTTAACCTGAAGCGGAACAGACGGACGAACGGACGAACTGACAGACAAACGGACGCACAGATCGAAAAACATAATGCCCCTCTACTATCATAGGTCAGGCATAAAAATAAGCTAATACTGTACAGTAACAGATCCAGGATAGAGCATAGAGGACGTATCCTTTGATCGCAAAAAAAAAAATCTCATGTTTCTCACAATTTATATGATTTTTTAGCATCCACAAAAAATGTCTGATCAGTTTTTTGGAATTACAAATTTTCAAAAATCCTGGTGCCTTACCTTTTTACCCTGTTTGACTGCCTGGATAATGATTTCTATTATTGTTGTAGTTTTGCCTGTTCCTGGAGGTCCATGGACGACAGCAATCTCTGGCTGACCTAAAGCAAATCTTACAGCCTCTTTCTGAGATTCATCTAAGTCACTATTTATATAATAGATCTCTAAAAAGTCAGGAAAAAAGGTATTGTTTCAATGGAAAACTGTATAACAACTTTATATTAGAAGTTGTTTAATTCAATGGTATCATTTAAAGAAACAGCATAGATTTTTTAAATATTCTAACAACAAGGACAACAGAAAAGTGGACAATATATTTCATAAATTGAATTGCATGCTAAAAAAGGTTCATATTGTGACTTGTAGCTGATATTTTTCATTATCAATATGCAGAAAACATTATTTATATGTATTAAAAAAGGTTGGTTTTCATTTTTTTTTTTAGGATAACTGTACACTCACGTAAAATCTCAATTAAAAAACTTTCACGCCATATACATATGGAAAGAGAAAAGTGTTACCTTTGCTTTCTAAAGGAGGAGATAACTCTGATTCCTGGAATAAGACAGATGCAAGGTGGCTGCATGGCTGAGAATGGCCTTGGCTTAGTCGGTTCAAAGCACTAAAGATAAAACACAAACAACTTTTATCTTTATCTTTTATTTTATTTTTAAATTCAGTGAAAATTGTTAAAAACAATTATGATTAATATTACTACATTGTACCTGTATCAACGAAATTGTAAATGTTTTTACAAGAGAAACAAAACATAATTCAAACTGGTTTTTTTTTCAAATTTATGAATGAGTTTTTGTTAAGACTTTAGTCATTTCTTTCTGATTTGACTTCTGCACTTTCTTGGCCACCTGCTATCAGTGAGAGATGACCATCAATGAGACATTTACCCAACAACAACAAAATTATTTGAAACAAAAATCTTTTTTGATTGACAAACTCCAATACATAGGACAAGCTCTAAATGTCCAACAGTCTTGGATTTATGGTAAATGAATTCAGCCATAATAACAAAATATCTGACATCAACACTCAACAGCCAACTAAATAAACTTCCACCTACATTTTTACAAGTTTCACAGGCTGGACATCTTGAAAAAGCCTCCATTTAGAAAAAATAATTGTAATACTTACCTTAATGTAACCTCTTAAATCCTACCAGTGTGAATCTGATTGAAATACAGAACATATGTCAACTATTCCTAAACAAAGGATCTGACTACACTCTGCTTTATTTTCTGTTGTGAAGACATTTTTGAGGTCCTGGGGTTTAGTTACAAAGATTCACACACTGAACTAATTTGGAGGCATAAATTTAATTGGTAAATTATATTTATCAGAACAACAAGTAGAACAGAGATGTTTGAGATCCTTGTAAGTGTAACATGGATGCAGGACATGTAATCAGATTTTACCAGAACTTTGGGAATTGTTACCTCTACAGTTTAAATTCGTTGTTTGATGTTGCCTACCCATGCATTGTAGGGTTGGGTATGTAGGTAGGGATTTTTTTTTTTGACCAACAACATAAGTTACATGTTTTAGACAAGAAAACAACTTTAGAGCAGGAAAAACTCTTATAAAAAAATTTGAACCAATTTGTCATACATTTTTTCAGGTAGGCTGCTTTTTAGGTTGGTAGGTAGGCAACATCAAACAATCTAAATTTTATTTTTGGCCTAATCCTTTACTTACTTTTTGATTCTTTTGTATGTCACATCGTTGGCTAATTTTGTCAGCTTATACAAAGCATCATCGTCCAATGAAAATAGATCCTGGCTCTCATCAAATGCCACATTGATCTCTGTCTGACTAACTCTTGTGATGATTCCAGAACCAGCACTGTCTGTCTGTTGATCACTTGATGATTGACACAATCCTACTATATCACCTGAAATTTAGAGTCAAATTCAAGGAGTTTTTTTGTTTGTTTTGTGCAATATCTGCTTACAATTATTGTTTAACAACCATTCAGTTGAACTTCCAAAGTTTACTCAATCTTCCTGATATACCCCAAGCATACTGGCCAAAATCAGTGAAAATGAAGTAGGTTCAATAACAAGCTTCTGTAACAGAGGCATTACAAGGCTTATAAATATATCTTATATAGAAATTTGGTGAAAAACTAATTTTTTGCTTAGTCAGCCAAAACTTTTTTTGTGAAGACTGGAAATTATCTATTTATGCTTTGATCATTTCTGTATTTTCTGTATTGTAGTATGATATGCCTTTTTGTTTCTGTTTAGACTAAAAAGTTGTCTTATAATAATTTGATATAACCTAGTGGACATTGTATACAAGTAAATCTACCCCTTGTATCATAAATATTTACATTGAACATAGTAATGGCCAAACACCTTTAATTTTATGTTCAAAACATTAACGATGCTGTAAAAGAAAATAAATTATTTAATCTTTAATTTGTACAACACCAAAGCCAAACTAGACAGATGTAGAATAAATAACATCTGTATCAAAAGGAATGTTTCAAACCACCAATGTTCTTCTATCTATGACTTTGTAGAATAATAATTTAGGTGCAACTGATACACATGTAATGAAAGAGATTCCCTTATTTAATGGATTGATGGTTTTTTACTTTGTCCAATGCCATATATTTCATGCATAGTCATGACAGCAATAGCAGCAAATTAACAAATAAATCTAATAGGTAAGACCTGCACAGAGGGTCCACCAGGATGAAGGGCGGGAAATTTAGACTGCAACTGGAAAAAGTGAATGTTTGGATAAGGGCTGAAATTGCCATGAAAAGGGCACATATGGACATTTCAAAGTTCTTTTATGTGCAGAGAACATGGTGCTCTCCCTTTAAAAGGTATCAAACATAACTCCCCATTCTAACTGGACATGGCTGGGTATTTATACATACTGTACCTCCAAACAGATGTCACCTAAGCATGGGTTTTACTGCCAACAGGAGAAGACCAGGTGACCATATTTCAGTAGACTCTTTGGATTCCTACCTTATTTGGAATATACACATGATATCAATGATTCAAATAGACATCAATGTAATCTTCCTCTATTTCAAAAGAAAAAAACTCTTGCTGCAACTTTAAAAAAAATTCAAATCTCTACTCCACTGGTTAATACATTTATGACTACAGATGTGAATCCAGGATTTTAAAAAGGGGGAGGCAACGTTCTGAGTGGGTATGTAAAAAGTTTATGCATTAACCATATATGTAGCTACATAAGGGGGCTGGACCCCCTGCTCCCCATAAATCCACCTCTGATCAGAGTATAAATTTTGTTAATCTAAGTGGTACTGAGCCTTTAGAGGATAAAAATTGCTTTCAATTGCATTATAAACTTAAAATTAACCACTGCATTTTATAAAGCATATCTAGACAATATTGTGAAATGAGTTATTTCCCTTTGTCCATAAAAAGAATGTACATGTAGAACAAATAGATTTATACACCATGGACTACTTCCTGCAACTTGTGTAAATTTAATCAAATATGTTTTCTATAAAAAAAATTCATTTAACATGTTTAATGTTAATCTTAAATCAGATGGTTAGTTTTATCTTTTGAATTGTTTAACATTTTGTTATCTTAGGCCTTTTACAACTACCTGTTAGTTATGGGTTTTGCTCATTGTTGAAGGTAGCACGGTGACCTGCAGTTGTTTACATCCTTGTTCACTGGTGGATATTTGTCTCATTGGCAATTATACCACATCTCCCTATTTTTATACTATAAGCTCCTGGCGCATTTATTTTGAAAACAAGATAAACATGAATATATGTCAAAAGGACACCTTTTCAGTAAACCACCTAATCTGGGTCAAAACCCTAATTTGGCATATATATGAAATAGTTCATTTCAAAATAAACATCACGAACATGTGTATTTAGTTCTAAGTTAGCATGACCACAAACTACCTTACATCAAAACTTTAATCTGAAACAGGACAGACGAACAGACTTACAGAAGGAAAGAAATAATGCCCTTTACTATTGTAGGCAGGGCATAAAAATTAACATGACAAGCAGTACCAAATTAAGAACTAAAGCCTTCTGACATACAGTATCTAATTTTCAAGACTTTACAGTACCTGAAGTAATATTATGGGATGGAAATTCCTTGATACCACCAGAAGCCTCAAAAGACAAGATAGTTCTGCCATACAATCCTGTTTTACGTCCACTGATTTTAAGTTTTAACAGACAAACTCCCCTTCTTTGTAATTCCTTGGGTGGTAACTTTTCTGTCAAAATTCTGAAATTAAAAAATTTAACAAATTTTATTGATATTAACTCATACTTCCCTCAAATTTTCCAGTCAGTTATCAAGAGCATATCTAGGCTTTTGAAATTAGGATGGGCACATGTCATTCTAGAAAATTTTCACAATTCAGATTAACAAATTATGTGAAGTTTTTTATCTTCTTGTTGAAATTAGCGATTATCCTCTTTGAAGCTGCACTTTGAAGGTTTTTTAATGTGTGTTTTACTTTTAGGACTAACATGATAAATACATTGTAGTTTCAATAAGAAAGGGGAAAGGTTGTGCATTAGTAAAACTGTGCTATCCAATATTTTTTATGCATTATTCATAAACAGTGCATTCATTTTACAGTGTTTCTGTATTTGAAGTGTGACTATGATTAATAAGGGCAATTATTCTTTAATACAATGGGTCAATTGACAATTTTGGTATTTTGACTAATTTGTTGGTCTTATTTTGTTGAACATTTTTGCCTTTTAAAGATCTGTCTATCTATCTTAGTTTCTGTAAAAACTTAAATAAAATTCTCCACTGGCCGCAGCTTGATATGACCACAAAGGTTGAAACCTGAACAGTTGGGGCAAGTATGGACACTACGTTCAAGCTTGATACAGCTCTGAATTTGGACTGTGATTAAATATTTGACACAGCATAGGTTTCTGACACCAAATAAATGTGGTCAAAGAACTGAAAAACTTGAAATTGGACTTTTGCCTGTTATGGTCCAATATTCAAAATAAAAATACACGGTTAGATTCAGTATACCCAACATTCCCAAGTACACCAAGAATTTAAATTATTTATTTATTAATGTATAATATTTTAAAAGTTTTAATTTTTTTGGTCATAAAATTAAGGTACATACATTTTTGTGTACACATATATGTATAAAGCATATATATTAAAACTAAATAGTATCATGAGTATTGTAAAAGGTATAAAATATATAAAAAAAAAATTAACAGAGAAATACTGTAATTATTTTATAAGATCCAACCTTGAAAAATCTTCTGTATTGATCACTGGAACACTATAGTCTTGATAAAAGTAGAAAATGTGACTAGATTTTAGATTCAAAAACTAGAGTACAGTTTGAAAGTTTAAGATGCATTAGCCAGGTTTAATTGCACAAAATGTATGTCTACAGTAAAATCTATTTTTAAAAAAACTGTAAAAATCTATTGTGAATAGCCCATCTCAAAACGTAATCCTGATACATGTAACTGTCAAACGACGTCATAAACAATTTGCTTATAAATTTTCCAGGGGTTTTTCAAAAAGCATGCATAGTAGTCAATAAAATGGCAGCATCCATGAAAGAACGAGAAAATAATGTGTTTTTTATAAAATAATACAACAGCATAATGCATTTTAATTACACTATATACATGTGGATGGAGAGTTGTCTCATTGGCACTCATACCACATCTTCTTATATCTATATCATGTATATTGTGGGACACTCCGTTTTTAAATAGTAATGGTTGGACCCCTAAAGTAATAGAAGGCCAATATATTTACCAACTTAATACCTGAATAGGTATATAAAGTACTGTTAATGATAATATACATGTATTTTCTAAACATAGCCAGAAATTAGTAGTACTTTTGCTAATTAATATTCATAATATGTAAATGAGAATTGTACCACGTGATAATAGTTTGAACTGGACTGGCTTGATATCATTAAAATCTTTAAAACACGGATATTATAAGTTGCCCGTCACAGAGTCCTTGTTTATAATCACTCTGATATTTCCGTAAAGTTGTCAAGCGGTCAAAATCAAAACAATGAACGCGAATTTAGTGAATTTTTCGTGTTTTCGTGAGTTTATTCTTCTTGAAATAGAGGCATTTTAACTTTACATGGGAACCTAGAGTTCAACGACTACACATACAAGGTTTGGACTTGCTTATTCTTTGGACATTCAAGTTTCAAGTTTCACCCCGGCAACCTGTATTTCTAATGATCTTGTTAGCCAATTTTCAACACGAAGTTTGCAAATTTGACGTTTCAGCCATTTTAGCCTGTATTTTATACTGCGATATTAAAAGCCTCTCGCTTCGATTTTTAAAATAGCTCAGGAACCTTGATTTTTGCAACGCCAGTCATTATATATCGTTTAAATGGTGTATATTGTTGTGTATATTTATTTTCTGCCCCGGCAACCTGTCTATCACTTAAATCAAAGTTAAAACAGACATTTTTTCTAAATTCCCTATCATTTCAATATAATTTCCATGACCCGTATCCGATTTCTTTAGTATAATATTCAAATAAGCAAAGTGGCGTTGATTTCTGGATATGATAGGGGGAACAAATCCTCAGCCAACGGACCCAGGTCAAAACCATGATTTTTCCTGTCACAACTAAAATGTATGGACCAAATGATTGCTATGAATTATATTAATCAAAAATAAACTTCTACAAGTTTTTGTATCGTGGACGTAAACCAAATCCTCAATGCGACAATAGATAAAATGTCTAATAATAACAAATGGTAAACCTCGTTTCTTCTATTTCAGTTTCTCTTTCTAGATCTAACAGTTTAAGGTGAGTCTCAATGAACTTTTCCATCTCTACTTTCCCTATATTCGATAAAAACTAAAAAGCCTAATGTTGAGTAGTCTAAAAAAATGTTGTCATCGTTGGTCAGATTATGGGATAGGGAGAGAAATTAGGTATTCGATGTTACTTTAAAATTAAAATCATGTCAATGTCGGAGTAGACATTATTATACGTACTGTAATTTGAAATGTATATTGATATATAAATCAATTTTTAAACATAATATTATCAATTGATTAAAACACGTACGTTTAATATTAAAACAAAACTAACAAACAATTGTCAGTTGGGGTGTCTAAATGTTCGACGATAGATTTTTTTTCTTAAACTTCTAAGTCAATGTATACTTTCAAATTTTACTATGAAAAAAATATAAAGGGCCTATAAAATTTCAAACAAATTTTACTATGAAAAAAATTAGATATAAAATAGATATAAAACAAGAATGTGTCCATAGTACACGGATGCCCCACTCGCACTATCATTTTCTATGTTCAGTGGACCGTGAAATTGGGGTCAAAACTATAATTTGGCATTACAATTAGAAAGATCATATCATAGGAAACATGTGTACTAAGTTTCAAGTTGATTGGACTTCAACTTCATTAAAAACTACCTTGACCAAAAACTTTAACCTGAAGCGGGACAGACGGACGAACGGACGGACGGACGAACGGACGAACGAACGAACGAACGAACGGACGCACAGACCGAAAAACATAATGCCCCTCTACTGTCATAGATGGGGCCAAAAAACTGGGGTTCACGGGCCTTTTTTCGTTAAAATGCATTGAATTCACGAAATAACAGTTATTCAATATGGGCAGAAGTCCATGGACTTCTGATATGGGTTATATATATAGGGCCAGGAACTTTTTTTTTTCCTTATTGAGTGAACATTAAACGATAGAATTGGTTCAAATTCAATCGGAAAGATCTTCTTTTCAGAAATACTTTCGAAATATTAAATAAAAATAGGGTTCACATTATCATGTATGTTGGTAAAATATTTTTAAACCAACAAAGTATTTTTGCAACACGTCCAGAAGTGATGATCAGTGATGGTCAGAAAAAGACACCCGACCTTAAATAAATGTTTCTTCTATCTTTCTTTAAATTATATCATTCAATTATTCTAAGTTAAAAATTATTTTTCTTGTTTCAAGAGCTATATGACTCCAGCAATTTGTTCATATAAATTATGAAAAGGAGAATGATGTGGGGCATGTGTCATCCAGACAGCAACACAACCACACAAATAATCAAACTTATGATACATCGGTTACTGATATTAGTATGATGCCTTTGACAGTTCAGTGAAACAATAAACAGGTGTCATATTTCACGCTCTATATATAAATTGTCCCGAATCAAAATAAAAATTGTGAACAATTTACTATTCAAAACTATCCAACGTCTGCCACCAACACAAAATTCTTCAAATAAAAAAAAAACATATAAAGATAGACTAACATTGCTCTATAACAATAGAAAATGATAAAGTAGCAATAACAAAGGAAGGGATTTTAATGCCATCAAAACTACTGCCCAGAAATATGCATGACAGAAGCTTCCATCCTCCAGCGATATCAAGTGATTATCGCAAATATTCAATTTTCACACGAACAATCAGAAATTGGAACGCTCTTCCTCCTGGGCTTGTAAAAGCACAAAGCTGAACTAAAAGCAAACATAATGGGGGAGGGGAAGGGGTCCGTCTGCGCAACAAAGTCATGGCAGGATAATCAGTTTGTAGGTTGTGACCATTATCTGACAGAAGCATGAAGATATGAAATGAGACAACCCCGGACGAGCTGTATGACCACCGAGGGCCACTTACTATGTAAATGGTTGTAGGGATAAGCCGCTGGAACAGGTTACTTCTTCCAGCTTCAAATATAAGGTCGAGAAATTACGATGAAATATATGACAAAGGATACGAAACTAATCATGTAGATGTTGATTTTATTTACAGGCGCGATTAAAACTACAGTTGTAAATACATCAGATATTTGTAAAATATATTTATCTCTACATGAAATAGCGTAAGCATGATAGCTATAGGTATATTTTTTTTTCACAAATATATGATAGGGTATGTTTTTTTGCTATTCAAAATATATGAAAAGGGTGGGATATCAGCTGTTCACCCCATGTTACCACAAAAAGATCGAAGTTGCAACACATACAAATAAATCATACAAAAAATCTCATCAAAGATACCGACAGGCTTATAATTTTGTACGCCAGACGCACGTTTCGTCTACAAAAGACTTATCAATGACGCTCTAATAAAAAAAAGTTAAAAAGGCCAAATAAAGAGAGCACCGAGGACCCAAAATTCCTACGAAATAAAAATTGCCAAATACGGCTATTAAAGGTAATTTATTACTGCGGTAGAAAATCCTACGTATTACGAACAATTCAAGGTTTTGTAAACAGTTAATTAATAAATACAAAGCACATAAACACACAAAGCAAATTTATAATATCCAAAGCACATGCGACATGCAAAGCGCTATTGTAAACCAACTTATTTTCGCGGATACTTTACTTCGCGTTTAGCCCTTTCTGGCCCACTTCGCGGCGACTTTCGCGATTTTCAAATTCACTTGATATAGTTAGATAAGGAAAGATCCGAGTTTTAAATTTTCGCGACGATTTATTTTCGCGTTTTTTTTTCTACTCGCGATTGTCGCGAAAATAAATCGCTCGCGAAAATAAGTTGGTTTAAAACTGGCAAAGCACACAGTTAACAAATAACTCTTTTAATCGGTAAAATTACAGATTAGACGATTATTTTGGTATATCTAAAGACCTAAGACAGCGAAGACTTGTCCATAGTCGGTTGAGACACAAACATATCGTATCGGTCAACCAATTCGGGATGGTGACAGTAAAACATGTGTTGTGTCGATTTCAGTCAATCTTCCTCATAACTCTGATGGAGCAGTGTTTGTGTAAGGAGCACGCCCTTGCTAATGACGTCAGTATAGTCTAACGTATAATTTGAGATGTGTAAACGTCATATGATGGGACAGAGGGTATGTTACTGCTGAGAAATGGGAAGTGGACAATTGGTCAGTAAAGCATCATCACGTTTGTTATAGGTTCTAGTTTGAAGTCGTACATCTGTATCACTGGGATATATGTGATGCGTGCACTCACTGAAATGTGGGTTATTTGTAAAGTATATTTAGTTTTTCATGTGCAAGAATATGTCACATTTCCAAGCGAGATAACCCAATCTGTTTATATTGGACAGTAGATAATTAACGATAACTCTTAACTCCTTCCAATAGATGTCGTTGCATTTACTAATCTTGTTAGATACAACAGAGACATGTCTCTGATAAAAATTAATTAGCGTCTTCACGGGAGTTATAAATTACGATACTTGAGTTAGTGGTTTTTAAAAGGACTATGATATTGAGATCAAAACCTCGTCGAGATTATAAATCAATGTAAGAAGGGGAAATTATTTTGAAAAATTAGGGAAAAATCCATAATTTTTGTTAATTGATCTTGAATGACACTTTTTAACAAACAGTCATAAAACGTATCTCATGAGTTTTGATGTTCATATATCTTAAAAAATACCATCTAGGAGGTTACATGACATCCTTGTTACCAAGAAATTTAATATTTTCATTTGTCCTTATGCAACAGAGCTGACGACGAAATTGGTACCGAACCGTAGCTTATTGCAATTTAATCACCATTAGTAATGATATAATTATATGGCATAATATCAGCTGTATTTTATATAAACATTTTAACACCAGCAAACACAAGTTTGTCCTGCTTTCTAACAATAGGCTATATACATTCATTCATTTCAGTACAATCATTCATTTATGCCTTTGACAAATAAGTTTGCTTTAAAATGATGCTATATATGTCTTTGAAGAAATAACTTACAAGCTAGATGTTTTTCATTTTTTAAATGTTTTAAGTAAAAACGGCTAAACATATCTCAACCATCTTTAGTAAGGCGTAAGCAGACAAAAAGGTTCAATAAATCAAATTTAGACAATTGGTGAAAACTAAAGATATAAATTCTAAGACTAAATAATTGAAGAATAAGTCATTCAACAGTTAAAATATATTTTTATTGATATTGATAAGTAAAGCTCTCTCTCTCTGATTAATAAGTGAAGATTTATCAATTGTAATAACTAAAGACATCATCATGAAGCGAGTTAGGTCGCAAGCGCTTTTATAGTGGGTCTCCCTTTTTATGTGTGTTTAGGAGTAATTCTTATTTGAAAGTTTTCTTTCATATTTCAACTTATTTACACCCATCTAAAAGTTTCTAACTGCTATCAGTGCGATTTAATACTAACAGTATTTATATCTGATGTCCCTCTGTCCTTATTTTCAACAGTGCAAGAAAGGTACAAAATGCGTTCTTACTATAGGCCAAACCTCTGAATTAATATGTAAGACCGTCGGAACCACTGCTAACCGATCATATATATTTACCGAAAATTAAGGCAACAAAAGTTGAATACGTATATCGAAAATTTAAAACAAATATAGGATCCTTGTAATATTCAAAGTCATATGAAACGAGTTTCTGGTGATTATAATGTTAAGGAAATTAAAACAATGCATGCATATATTCTAAACAAAATCCTATGTCCACTTTTTTATATTTATACCGAATCCATTACCGTATGATCGACAAAAAAATCATTTGGTGATTTTTTTTTATCGAAAACTTTGGCAGTCAATTAACTTTCGGTTTTTGTTGCCGAAGTTCACCGAATTGTGACCTTGATAAACAATCAACACAGAAGTCTGGAGCAGTGAAGAATAAGTGAGATAACTATTTCTTTCTTTTTTCTTTCTCCTTCGCACTTGAACTGTGACATTGCCGAATTTCTAATGAAACTTGTGTTGTCATGCTTAAGGTTACTGCATACGAAAAACTCAAATTAGACTACGGGAAGCTAACATTTCAATAGCAGTACATGTCTGAAGATTTTGGATAAAATAAAGGATTGCATTTTAAAAGAAACTCTTTGAGTGCTTGTTTTATAGTCAAAGTAAGCCGTTAGAGTATATAAAACTTATTCATCTTTATTTTAATTTAAAGGATCAT